GGGTGCAGTGTTGCTGCGCTCGCCTTCCGGCTGTGCGGCACCCGCCGAGGACTCGCCCCGGCGCACACCAGTGCTGCGCGGAAACCCAAACGGCTTTTGCCAGAATCGGTCTCATTTGCTAAAGTACCATAGAAGGGAAAATTATAGGGAAGGGGATGGGAAAGTGGAAAAGAGCCGGGAGCGGAGGAGGATGGGGAGGGAGTCAGACCCCCAGCAAGGGGCCACGGCGGGGGGGGCCGAGGTGCCTGTGCTGGACCCAGGAGGGGAGCATGGGGGGTGTCTCTGGGGAGGAATACCCACGCTGGAGAGCCCCGGGGGGGCTGCCCGTGTACCCCCTGCTCGCAGGGGCCGGGAGGGCTGCAGGCAGAGCCAGCCCGGGAAGCAGCAGCAGCTCCCCAATAAAAGCCGTGGTTTTGCTCTGTCCCTAAAGCCAAGTGAGAGGCGCATGCCGGGACCGTAATTCAAACCAGCTCCCTGCCAGGGCTGGCGGGGACCTGCCGGGGTGCCCATCCGCGTGGGAATGGACGCCCCTGGGCGAGGGCTGCTCCCAGAGCCCCTCCGCTCCCCGGGCAGGACCTGGACCTTGGGTTGGGGGTGTGAGAGCACCGGGATAGATGCAGTCTGAGTCTGCACCCTGGCCCCTCTCCGGCCGGCTCCCCGGCACCCCGCTCCAGGGTTATCTGTGGTGCTCAGCCCAGGGACCCCACTGCTGCAGCCCGGGCTGAGCTGTGCCCCAGGGCTGCCTCAAACCCCCTCCCCAGCCGCGGCTGCTGACGGACCCTCAAGACCTGTCTTGTGGGGCCAGATCCCTGTCTGTTCCGTCTCCTGCTATTCCAGCCCCGAACCCTGCCGGGACCCTCTTGCCAGTGCCCATCCGGCAGCTCCCGGTCCCCTGCAGGCACTCACCCTGACGAAAGCTGGAGTCGATGGAGTGGTCCGGCGCCAGCCCGTTGGCCGGGGGTTTGCAGCTCAGGTCGATCAGCTGGTGGAGGCGAAGCTTCCTGCAATAAATGGAGGCGGCTTCGGGCTCCAGAGCGATCAGCAGCTGCTCCGGGTTCTCCGGGGACACCAGACCGGCCTGCGGGGAGGACGGGGCGTCGGGGCAGAGAAGGTGCCGGTGCACCAGGGCGTCCCTGCTCGCCGCGGCCTCACGGCTGTGCTCCGGCAGGGCTTTCCCATCCCTGGCCTTTGTGCATCGCTTCTGCCTGTGTAGGTACTATACTTTGCACAGCAGTCCTACGTCTTACGGCTGGGGGCCCGGGACCTCCCGTGCTGTAGGGGTGGGTTAGCTCCTGCCCGTCCCAGGGACCCAGCGGTGGCACCAAGCACCCAAGGGGCACCCCCCATCCCTGGGGGAGCTATTCCCAGCACACGTCCCCATCCCCGTGTAGGTACTATACTTTGCACAGCAGTCCTACGTCTTACGGCTGTGCACCGCACCTCCCGTGCTGTAGGGGTGGGTTAGCTCCTGCCCGTCCCAGGGACCCAGCGGTGGTGTGGGTGGCTCCTGCCCGTCCCAGGGACCCAGCGGTGGCACCAAGCACCAAGGGGGCACCCCCCCATCCCTGGGGGAGCTATTCCCAGCACACGTCCCCATCCCCAGTCCCCCCCCGCTTGCTGCACACCCAGCTCTGAAATCCTCCCACCCCACCAACACCAGGTTTCAAAGCTGACCCATGCCCAACAGCCAGAGTCCAGCTTTTGTTCCGCAGGCTACCAGGACAAGCCAGAGACCCTTCGTTATGCGGGCAGCACCCACAGGGAGAGGGGGGAAGGAGGTACCCCCCCGGAGAGCACAGCCTCCTGCGAGGGTCACCGCGTGGAACAGCCCCCCCGGGGGTCCCGTCAACCTTGTAGGCAGCCTCCCGCATGAATTGCTTGGCCGGCTGCTTCCAGATGGCGGGCACGGTGATCACCCAGCGGATGGCATCTCTCTCCGGCAGGGATGGGCACTGGTCCTTCAGCTCCTGCCGGGCAAGAAGCAGCAGGTGACCCCCCCCGGCTGGAGCATCAGGGCTCTCGGCGAAGGGTGAGGAAGCAACACGTGGAGAGGACGACACCGCACGACTTGTACTCCGTTTGGGGGGGGAGAGGAGGGCTGTGTGACGGTGCAGGGAGACCCGGCTCGGGTGCCGGGGTGCCCTACCTGCACGGCAGCCCTACCTGCACGGCGTGCTGCTTGAAGAAGCGGAGTGCGTGGGCAAACACCTCCAGCGCTTGCATTTTCTTCCCGTTGACAGCTTCTAGTTCAGTTTTCATGGTGAGATCCTGCCAGGAAGAGCAGTAACAGCAAACAGGTCGTGGCCGGCACCCCATCCCAGCTCTGTCAGCGAGCCTCGGGCAGGGTGCTCGTCCCCCCCGTGCCAAACAGACCCGCTGGGGCACAGGCACTCAAAGTGCCGCTCTGCAGCCACATGCACCTGCCCTGAAGCAGCACAGATGGGGGAAATCAAAAATTCACTCCCCTGCAAAGGGCTAAAACGTTGCTATGTGTGAAGTGTGCGTAAAGCAAACGGCGAGCTGGGTGCGCTCGGTCGGGGTGCTGGTGATCAGAGGTTTGGCTTGTAGCCCCTCTCCAGCCCTCCCGGATTTCTGCTCCCCTCGGTGAACCCCTCTCTTTGCTTTCTGCAAAGTGGGATAAATCCCTGGGGCCAGCTCAGCTCACGTCCAGCCTGGCCAGGGTCCCCACGGGTCCCCTCGGGAGGTCGGGATCGGAGCAGGGACTTACGCTGGTGCTGTGAATCTTCATCTTAAACTTCTCGAAGTAGAGCCAGTCGCGGGCTTCCTCGGGGTCCAGGTCATGGTAGTAGTCCCTGGCGGTGTAGCCGAAGCTGTGGAAGACGCCCTCCGGGGTCAGCAGGAGGCTGGTGGGGGTCTTCTGGTTGGCCACCCCTGGGTCCCCTCCTTCCCATTTCCTGCAAACAGGAGCCGGCGGCAGCCCGTGAACCTCAAGGCCAGAGGCCGGGTCCTGCCCCGTTTCATTTATTTGTGTGGGCACAACCTCAGGCACCTTGAAGAGGGACAAAGAAGGGACCAACGTCCCCGGGAAGGCCATGCACGAAGAGTGCTTTACGCCCTGTGCAACCCCTGCAGGGCTCCTCTGCACCCACGCAGGTCGTTGTAACAGAGCGCTAATGAAGAGGTGCTTGCTAATGATGGGGTGAGACCCCATCCTCCCACTCAGTGCGAGACCCATTTCACGGGCTCCTTCCACCCGCTGCTGCCAGGCAGCATCCCTCACCCGTGATGGTGTGGATGTTCATTGCCCGGCCCGGCTCCATCCCTCCTTCCCAGCAAGCCAAGTTCCAGCTGCTTTGGGCAAAAGGTCCTTTAACAGCCTTGGGAGCAGCTCTCGGGCCTCCGGCCGCTCCTCACCTCATCATGTGGATGGCCTCGGGGTCGCTGGAGAAGCTGAAGGCGTAGCCGCTGGACGTGGTGCCGAAGTCGATGGCCACCACCACGGCGAAGGAGGCGGTTTGCTGGGAGCGAGCCTCGCTCCTCTGAAAGGCAAGGGCAGCCGTTAGGGATGGGCTCTGTCCTGGGGGCGAGCGTCGAAGCAGGGCTGGCTGCTTCGGGAAAAGGGGCAAAAAACCCCCCCAGCCTGTGAAGGGGTTAATTTTTACTGGATCAGGCCGGCAGGCGCTGCCCGGGCAGGGGACACAGTCATGCTGCGGTTTCCTCTGCAGTGATGCCGACAACACCGGGCAATCCCTCCTCCTTCACAGCTCCAAATCACTGAGAGGAGGGACTGCCTGCGCTGGGCTCTGGGGGGGTCCCTGCGGCAGTTCCCAAGGACAGGCTTAAAGGACAGGGGGATTTGGGCAGCCCCGGAGAGGGATGGATGCCTGCAGCCTCTGCCCCCAAGAGCTGCCTGGGGCAGTGATGGGGCTCCCTGTTTCTTCCCGGGTTGGGGTGGTGCTGAGCCCTCCACACTTGAACCCTGGCAAATTTTAGCTGAGATTCCCCAAAACCTTCCCTGTTCCTGATCTCGGTCCAAGGGACCTCGTCCCAGGTGCCCCCACGGATCACCCAACCGAAAACCCTCCTGGCCCAGGTGCTTCAGGGGGTTCCCACTGCCGCCTCCTACAGCTGATGCTTTTCTGGTCCTGCCTTTGGGCCCCCGTCCTTCGCCTCCTGGCCGGCCCCCGCGACGGCAGACAGAGGTGGCAGCGAGCAGCGGTGCCGAAGGAGCCGTGAAGACGCAGCGAGCCCCATGCCCGTGTCACCGCCCCACGCTGTCGCCCTTGCCTGCCACAGCCTCCCAGCACACGGGGCAGACACGGAAGGCTAAAAGCCCTCATTAACTTTTAACGTACCCAGATTTGATAAGTGCAGACATTAGCTTGCCACGAAAAAAGCCGGCAATTAGCATGGGTGAAGGGGTTGTCTCAGAAATGTGCATGTTCAGGGAGCTGCAAGGACAGCAAGCGCCGGGGAGGAACCGGCGCCGGCACGCTCCCCACCTGCGTCCTTCCACACCGGGCAGTCCCCTGGGACGTTCAGGTAGGAGCAAGCCGAGGCCAGGAGCTCTGCAGAGTTAAACTTATGCCGATGTTTCCTCCGGCTCCTCTCCTGCCTCCTGCTGACCTCCTGCGCTGGAAAAAACCTCAGTCCCATAAATCCCACAGCTAAGGGGGGGAGATTTGGGCCCCGGCGATAGACTGACCTATCCTTCAGCTGATCCCGGGGTGTGTGGTGGGGAGAGCAACCAGAGCGGGAGGGGAGGCAGCGGGGGGTGACCACCGATCAGGGATGGATCAGAGGGGGCAACGCCGGGGAGATGGACCCCGGCAGCCCCAAGGGACCCTGCAACTGCCTTACCGGCGACTGGGAGGGCGTCAGCGGGGCGATGCTGCAGCTGTCGTGGGGTGTCCCCGGGGAGCCGGGAGGGGACGGCGTGGGGCACCGCTCGCCGTTGGCACCTGGGGACACAGCAGGGTGAGGCTGGGATGGGAACGGGCGATGGCCCCCCCCCGAAGACCCTTCCCCAAGGTGAGGGCAACGCGTGATATCCCGATGAAGATGCAGCCGGTGCAGATGCGGGTTTGGCAGCAGAGGGGTCAGAGTCGCTGCGGGGACTGCTGCCGGCGGGCTCCGCACAGGGCCATTCTGGCCTTGGGGGGCTTCCCACACTTTTTTCAACCATGTGTAAGGAAGGATCTAATCAGCACTGATTAAATTCAACCTGATCTAGTTGAAGATGTCCCTGCTCATTGCCGGGGGGGTTGGACCAGATGACCTTTAGAGGTCCCTTCCAACCCAAACTGTTCTATGATTCTAAATTAGCAAATGAGGAACCCCTTGGAGGTGTCATAAGGAGGTGCAGGTACCAGTCGCACCTGGTGTTAGCACTGGTGAGCTGCTGGTGAGCTCACAGGGATCGCTCCCTCCAGGTACGGGGCTCACACAGAGGATGGGGACAGTAGTCAGAGAAAAGCCGCAGAACCGAGGGACCTTCTCCTCCGGGACCGGGGAACGTCAGCTCTTGCTCAGCAAGAAGGTGGGTCAGGGTGAGTTGGTCGTGGTGTTTCAGGGAGGGGTTCAGCTCACTGGTATGGGCAGGCTTTGGTCATGAGACACGGGCTCAATGTCTTCTCCATCGCTGGAGAGGAACTGGCACGTGGAGGAAGAGTCGTCTCACCCCGAAGCCAGTATCTAAAGTAAGTCAGGTGAACCTGCAAGCCCAGTTTCTCCCCGTTGACTCTACAGAGACCCTTGGTGGTGGCTGCGGATGGAGGCAGTTCCCCTGCAGATGAGCAAACCGAGGTGGGATGGGTCCTGCCTTGCGCATCCGAAGGGGACCAGAGAAGTGGAAGTGCAGTGGTCTTCGGCTGGCAAGGGAGCGGCCGGGTCTAATTCCTTGCAGCTGACGACAGAAGAGTCAGGATTAAAAACCCATGACGTGTTTGTAGCAGTAAGGGACGCGGTGGTTCGCCAGAGCTGCCTATTTTTAAATCAAGACAGCCATCGTCACATAAATACATGCTAGTTCAGCTTGGCGACGGCTGGCAGGGATGACTGCAAAGGATGCCAGATGCTGCTCTGGGCAAGCAGCTGAAATGCTTGTATCCAGCGGGAATGGGGGGAAAACTTGGGAAAGGGACGCTGGTGAGCTGCTGGGGCAGAGCAAGTGTCTGCAGCACGAGGCCATGGAGACCCGGCTCCTTGGCCCTCGGGGAGGGGAGGTGTGCCCAGCTCAGACCCGCGGCCACGCTGCAGAACAACCCAGTTTGGTGGAGACCCGGTAACTCCTGCGTGAGCCCGCGATAACTTGAGGTTTAGCCTGCGTGGGGAGCTCAAGGAGGCTCGTGCTGTCTCGCGCTGCAGTGAGACACGGGGACAAGCACCGTGGTGCAGCGGCCGCATGGTCACCCTTGCTCTGCAGTGCCTGGCCCGGCGGGGGTTTCCTTCTCCTCCTCTTCCTCCTCCTCCTCGAGACGCCAGCCAGCTCTGCATCTCCTTGCGTGACCCCCCCCACCAGCTCCTCCAGCAGCAGAAGCCTTGTCCCGGCGATCCCTGTTAATCCCGGTGTGTCAGCCCGGGCTGGGGCTGCTGCAGAAGCCCTGGTGGGATGCCTGGCCCCCAGCCCAGCCAGCGCCGGGACGAGGTGAGCTCCGGGGCCGTCCCGCACGCCGGCGGTGTGGGGCTGCCTGCTGCCTGCACTCCTCTTGCCACACGGCTCCAATTAGCAGAGGGGATTAATCATCCGCCCTGTGAAAGCACGAGCCGATAGACGGGCTCCAGCTGTTGGTGAGGGGCAGCCGCGAAGGGGCTGGTGCAGCTGA